GGCCAGGGCCACCAGGACTAGCCAGGGGTTTGGCCAAAAGTTTATTTTTACGATGTTTAGGGTGGGGTTCCTTTTCAGCCGATTTTTTCCCCCCAACCAGGGGGTCCCCAAATTTTTTTTTTTTCCCCCCCCCCCCGGGGCCGTTTTTTTAAAGTTAAAACATCCCCCCCCCCCCCCCCCCTCCTGCCTGGGTTTGGTCTTCGAAGTCGTGGTGGTCTTGATATAGTCTTGAATCTGAGAGGATAGAGGAGCATCGTGCCTGTAGCACTTCTTGGGCACCGATGTTTTCGTAAGTGTATTGAAGCATGTGACATTGACGTATATTTCAGATGTTACCTCGTCGTCGGGTAGACGCTTGCGACCCAAGCGATTTGCTTGCGGCGGGATGGCGTCCAGCGTTTGTAGGAAAATCAAGCGCTGTCTCCGTTGCCTTGGCACCAGGCCACGGATGTTTGGATTCGGTTTTCGTGGCCACAAAGGAGACCAGTCTGAGCAGGGTCCGGAAATTTCGAGGCGTAGCAAGAGGCAAGTGACCTCAGATGTTGTTGTTGTTGTTGTTGTTGTTGTTGTCCGTACTGGTCCAACTGACGCGGACACCTTCCGTGGTCACGAGCCAACTGCCCCCAGCGGTGATGGTGGGATTGATGGGGTGTCATCTCTCTATTGCGCTGGAGAGTGCTCCCCCTGTGCTCGTTTCGGTGCAGTAGTGCAAGTAGAAGTATTAAGATTACGGTTCGGGGATGTTCCAAGGCCCTACATATCCTTCGCCAGATCGTAGAAGGCCGGTGGTAAACCTGTGAGCGGCAACGAACCTGGCAGCGGGGGTAGAGGTACCCGATACGGAAAATACGGAGAGAGGGTAAATGAAAGAAAGTTCAGGCAAGTTGATCATGTATACCATCCGGAATATTTTGGAGGACGTCGAAGTGGGGTCCCTCCCGGAAGCTGTCGAAGGGGAAGGAGATAGCAGAGAAAAACGCTAAGCCTTCATGTACTCAAGAAGTATTCTCAATACAATACTTCGGTGTTGGTGGATGTGTCAATGGTCGAGTACCGTTGGGGGTCTCGGTTTACACGACATTTGTTTGGCCCGGCCCCGTTGACATGAATGGGAAAATTGGATTCTGGATGTCAAGAGAGGGAAGTGCCCGATGCCGTCACGTCGTTATTGGCCAGTGAGTTGCCTTGCAGACTCCGTGGAGAATACACTCAATGCGTTGTTTGCTCCTATCGCCGGGTCTAGATGGGTTTGGGCGCCGACGTGGTGGGGGGTCTCAAATTGACTCTGGGCGCATGGTAATATTTCTTGGTGTCGACTTTTACTTAGGGAGGGTTGTTGTGGTTGGTTGTTATGTCCTGCTTGTGCATGTATGGATACCGCTGTTAGAGGGCGGGCGCAGCAGGCAAAGAAAAGGGAGGCTGGGATTTTCGTCATTTGACTATTGTTTTGCTCGGCATCTCGCGCCGAGCGGGCGATGGGTTCTCTTTCTTAGTTGTGCGGATGGGGCCTCCAGGTCCCCTAGTTTATCTTGTTGTAGAATTGTATCAACCATAGGGTAAGTCAATTTTCGGTTTGTTCTGTATGTTCCGGGTTCCATCAACCTGCCGGTCTGTCTTTTATGATCTGCTCTCGGGTTTGGTTGAGGGTATTCGGAGTCCACCATTTTTCAATTATTTCTAATTAATAGGGCTACATAAAAGGTGCACCATTTTTCGAGGACGCTTTCTGAAGACAGCAACAACAGCGAATCGGTTGTTGCTACAGCGGACACGTTTGCACCCTACGGTTTCCACAGAGAGAGACGCCTGAGCTCAGAATATGATATCATTGAGGTTCTTTGATATTGCAGAGAGCAAGCACTGTTTTTTTTTTTTTCATATTTGTTTCGCCAGAAGGCCAGCAAGACTTTGGCATTCCCCCTCCCGCCAAGAGAGTTGAAGCTTTTTGTGGGTCTTGCGGATACACGCTGTGCGGGTAATAGTCCAAGTGGGAGTCGTCGTTTCCACAGGAGGAGAGGCTGGAGGGTATCGAGGGTTGGTCGTGTCCGGGGCCGGGCTACATAGTGTCCAAGATGCCTACAGTAGACGAGGCAACACAACGTCGGGCGTCTTGCTGTGTCGAAGAACTGTTAGTGGGCTGCCCGATCTACGTAACTTTTCGATTTGAACACGTGTAAATCCATGTGCAGGCTGTGCATCTCTAGCAGTCCTGGTTCGAGACGCACTGCCCGGGTGACGCCACAGTCCTCTGTCCGTAAAACGTTACCGTGGCAGGTGTTGCACAGGCTCCACGCGATGGACACCTTTCCCTAAACCTTTTTGTATGAAAGACAACACGCCTTTCGACAACCTCTCTCATGCGTAGGTAGTCTGCCCTAGAAGTACTACGCTCCCCCCCTCGAAAAATTAAAGTCGAGCTCGGTATACATAGTATGGCATCAAGGGGAAATAATGAATGCAGCTCAACAACGACGACGGTGCTGGGAAGGTATGCTGGTGCTGAGCAACGTTTTCTTCACCCTACCCTTCGTTCCACTATTTTGACGTCATGTGACATCAAGCCGTCACCTTTGTCTCTTGCACAAAAATGCATAGCTCCAGGCAAAAACACTTGAAAGTTTCTCTCAGCATCCAGCGTCAAGACCGTCAATCCCACAACCAGTAAATGTGGCGAGACGTCAAGAAATATATCGTCACCAGCAGCAGCAGCAGCAGCAGCAGCAGCAGCAGCAGCACTGAGAAAAAATTCTGCCACTCGCGAAAACGCATCCATCCATCCATATTCCTTCGGCCACGACAGACACAACAGTGATTGGGTGGCAAAGAACCGGGAGGAACCTCCCTCCCCCTCGCGAGAAAAAGTAGAGATCATTGCCCTACATACGTAGTCACTTGGGACATCAGAAAATAACTCTCCCTCGTGAGAAACGGTAGAATTCACTCCTCTATCAAACATTCATTGGCTGAAAGGACGTTCACGTAACCAACGAAAAATTGAATCGAAAGCAACACATACATAATGCAGACAACACTATACAACTCCACACAACTCAAACCTAAATAAACATCAAGAAGACACCCTTGCGCCTCCATGAACCTGGCAACTAATCATCCTTCCGTCGATCAGGTTCACTCCACGCCATGCGATCGATTCACACCGTGAGTCACAACAACAGAAAAATGTGCACCTCATGAAGTACGTACCGCGTGCCCCGCCTGACAATAAGAGGGCCCGCGGATTCAAATGCTGGAAGGACTGCTACCCCCACGCCATTTTTTGGGCGCTTTGTTCAATACGTTTTTTGAATAGGATTAAGTATGGTAATGTAGTAAAGTCTGTGTTTTCCTTATTGTATAGGCTTTAGTATCGTAGAGTAAAAACCATTACTAAGATGTGTGTATGGAGTTTATGTGTTGACCAATATAGTAAGTATCCCCCCCAATTTTTTTGGTGACGCGTCCGGAACCCCCTCCTCAACTACTATAGAAGTATTAGTGTATGCCTACCCATACTAAGTCCTATGCAATAGAAAATATAGAGTAGGTTATACTTCTATACTAAATCGCCATATACGGTACACAGCAGAACCCCCCATGATCTGGTCCTTAATCCAGTTTGTGGCAGTGCTTCCACATTTGAATCCACGTGCCTTCTTGCTGCGATATGTATCTCCTGATGCTGCGCGTTGTTCGTGCCGGAGCACGTAGGCTGCATCGTCATTGGCAACCCTCGATATTATTCCGTGCTTGTCAAGGATGACCATCACGAGAAGCTTGTGGTTGTGCTCGATCAGCCAGAGCGAGCGCGCAACCTTCATGCAGTTGTGTTCAAAGTTTTGCACCGGAGTAACAGGGTAACGTGCTGCAACCGACGCCTATTGGACAGCTGTCAGCAACCAAGCTACCTTTAACAGAGGGAGAAAAAGACGAATACAGGTGGTCATGGTGCCTGACAGGCTCCTAACGAAATCGACTTACTGTAGGTCGCGGGCCCTGAATAGGGCGGGTGTGTTCACGAGCCGATCCACACACAATGTATTACGGACCCCTTTCAAAGTTCGAAACACCTCGAGTACCTGTCTGTGCCAAAAAAATAATCCACCCACTTTCTATGTACCGGCCACACAGACAGTACATCACTGGTGGACGGCCGCACAACCAGACCCACTCGCACCACGCAGCACCAGACGATAACAACAATGACCAACAACCGCGAGAGCGTCACAACCCCGGCTCAGGCTTGGCTTCCACTACCACCGAGTTCACGGTCAGGCTTGGCTTCCAACACCATTGCGTTCATGGTGTTCGCAGCTTGCTTCTTGCCGCCGTCCCTGACGGACTTCTGGACGGCCTTCGACATCAGCCAGCCCATCCCTCGGATAAGCTTCACGTCTCGCACAACAACGGTCACCTTACACACGAAACAGAAATATAGGGCGACGAGAACGGACGGACGTGTCCACACATGCTGACGTGGTTGATGAATATACGTACATATTTCACCTCCCGGCCCGGCGACGGCACACGAAAAAGGACGTTCCACAGTATCTCCCCCGCTCTGTTTTTCACTGTCTCTCCTTCCAAAGCTCAATAGACACCAAGAGGACGACCCACGGGCAAGAGTTCTAGCTGGTTCCTGCATTGCTTTCGCAATCTGCGACACGAACCACCGCTGAACCCCTGTCCATTTCACTCTTGGAGGGTTGGTTCTTCTTCCTCAAACAGAGTGACTTCATAGAAACTACTGACGCATCAAAGCCGTGTCACAGTGATGATCGGGTCCCAGGTTTTATTTCTCGGTCCCGAGGTACATATCAAGGCGTACCTTAACTCGGACGGAGTTTTCGGGGTCGTCCTCGGATCGAGTTACTCGGAAGGTGGTCTTGACGACCAGGTTGCCGCGGAACATGGGCAGCTTGGAGATGCAATCGGTCTCCGTGTAGGTCACCTCGTCCTCGCTCTCGCTCAACCTGATTCAACAAGAAAACAAGGCACGGGGAAAGACATAGAACCAAACACCAGGCAAGAGCCAGTAGAGCAATGAGAGACGTAATCAGTCGATATATGTTGAGGCATCCACGGCCATCGGTGAAAACGAGAGAGTGCAGAGCCAGTGCCCCCGTGCGTAACGAAGACATGGAGCCAATCTTCACCGGTGTGGATCGATGTCTGGCGCCGAACACTTCGTGTTGGCTTTTGTTGGATTCCAAAACGGTCCACCTACATAACTGAGGCATGCCTCAGTATCGTGTCATGGCAAGTACTAAAATATATGAAATGAAGAAAAACCACACAGCGCGGTTTTTCCTCTTACGCACCCTCGCACAGCGATTTACTGGTTGTATTCGGAAACGGGTGGCATGTTGCAGCCTACGAGCCCGGAGGGGGCGAGCGCTGTCAGAGAAACAACAACAAAACGAGAGCATTTTACTCTTCCGTTCTTTGGCAGACTCAAGAGCAATGTTCTCTACGAATATCATGCTCACAACAACATTGTGTGGTGCTTCGATGACGAACGGAGTGACAATCTTCGGGCCTGCCGCGCGCCAAAAGCCAAGCTGTGACGGCAGTGAATGGATTATCTTCGTCATGTGTATTGACCATAGCGTGAGAACAAGCTTGTGCATACCTCAACCGACCGATAACGGGGCCTCGATATTTACATGATCCACGCGGTGACAGGCACGCGAGAAAAACCCGCCTCTCACGTGTGGCCTTGAAGAGCGTCGTTGTGGGAAGTCCCGAACGGAGAGGAAACCGACGTTCTCAGGCGGATCTTACGATAAATCTGGCGAGGTTTCTCTCCCGACGTCTTCTCCTGATATTGACGATTTTGGGAGAATGTCGGGGCCCGCGAGCGTCCAGTTCACCGTGAAAGATAAAAAAAAACGAATGAATATTGTCGGGCAGAGTAAACTACATAACTGGAAATGAGTGAAAGCTATGTGTCGCGGGAAAGCTGTCGTGGCGCTGCAGCAGCAGGAAGGTTGTTCGAAGGAAGAGACGCTGACAAGGCACAACTTTTTTCCGGCTCCCTGAAAAGAAACAGCGACGGTTCGCGCCAATCGATGAAAGAACTTGATTACTGAGTGTTCCTCTGTGCATTAAACGACGGTCAAATCCTATCTCGCAAAAACACCCACGTGCTCCATATACAGTACCTCGCCATGTCCGCCGCCGATGTTATTGTTTTTTCCCACTTCTGGCCTTTTGGGTTCCGCATTCGGGGGCTTCTGTTCTCCCTTAAGCCCTCCATATTTCCCCCCGCGGGGGGGGGACGGCACAATCTCTTGGAGTTCCTCGCTTTTCGACAGTACCTCCTCGTCTTCGCACTGGAATTCCCACGGAACCCAATCCCCGATCTCGACCACCTGCCGGAGATAAACGCACGGGGCGCAGGGGGTCATCAACGTTACGTTGGTTGGTGGTCATTCATTGGCCGCCGCGAGGTTAAGCGACTTCATGAGCGCGCTCTCGCTCGTGAGACTAAAAGATCGCGCCATGAAGCCTTTCACGGGTGGGTCTGAATTGACCGAGGGTGGATGCCTGGTTACCATCTGTTGAGCGTCAGAAATTCCTCAATGGCAACCTGTGACTACGAACACCAATCTCTTCAACGCGAGAGTGCGAAGGTTTCAGAACCGTTTTAGACTACAGTAAACACAACGGTAGACGATTGTGTGAGACGTGCCCCACCACGAGCTATTGGAGCTTGTGTCGACAACATGAATGATTGTTTTCACCTCCTGTTTGGAGAGAGCCGTTGAAGGCCTGGTGCTCCTGTAGAACCTTTGTGATCGTGCAAGCCGGGCAAATGTCGCGATGGTTATGGACAGAGTGGTGCCCACCTGAGCACCCGCCGAGCTGTTTTGATGCGCCCACGTACACAGGACGCGCCACGAACGTCGACAACATCGGGCAGATATTGAAGTATGTAGAACGGAACCGGGCCCGTCAAGACGGGCAGGCATATGTATTGTCGTTTTTTATATCTCTCTGTCGCAGGACAGCAGCTGGCAATCCCCAAAATACGTTCGAAATTCTTTTCAGGGAGTGAAACAACGACACACCAAAAACGACACACCAGGTACATACATCGTCGTGGGTATTCGCAACAAGAGGCGGGCTGCTGAACCCTTGTCAAGAAAAAAAAAAACAAGCCCCGCAACTAGAGGAAAACAATTGGCCCGTCTGTGTGACCCCGGCCGGCTTGCATAAAAAAATGTTACACCGCACGGTGTGGTACTACAGAAATCTGGCGCCCGGAATACTTGAACGTACAGCCATCGATGGATGAAACAAGTCGCTCATGGCTTGTCGTAGTTTGCCCTACTATTATTGGACCGAGCGAGCTATTCTGTAAAGGAATAACCCGGTCGGTCGGTCCTCCGCCTGCTTGCTGCTGCATCGGATAAAATTTGCTTCGGGGTGTCAGGCTGCAACAGAGAAGAGGGGCGAGCTTGTCCTGAATGCATGCACATCCATCCTGAATGCAAGCACACCTGCTGTGTACTGTATTACACGAACACTCGCATCATTTCGCTACAAAAAACACGAACTTGCCCTGGGATCCCCGGCACTGGGCAAGGTGTGTATCATTGATGAATAACAATTCTCACGGGGCGGTTTTTCATGTCGCCATTGTACAAGCACGGGGCTACCGGCGTGGCAATGTCACAAACCCCAACCCCGTCGCTCGGGGTGTCTCGCCGGTGTTTTTCCCTCCACAAAAAGTGAAAGGGAAACACCACACCCCTATGTGCATTCGCGTCGTGCATCAAACAGCCTCTCCCAGCGAACGAAAAGAGCCACACACACACACACACACACACACATCATTGGTCAGCCGGTTAGCGCGGTCGATGCCAATAAAAGAAACACACCCACATGGATGCCACAGACAAAACGCCAGAGCTCTCTGCAGCACCTAGCCCCTCACCTTGCAGTGGCAGAAGACGTCATCCACATGGTACGGCACGGCACAGCACAGCGACCCTAGATTGCGCTCACGTAAGCAGCAGATGTTCCGAACAACGGTGGAAGGAGAGGTATTGTACGGTGCAAACAGAAACCGGTGGATCTGGAGTGAAAGACAAACTTCGAGGGATGGGACCACAGCTGTGGTACCGAAGAAGATGATGAGGTCAGATCCTCTTTTCGGAGATAGCCCACGGTAGGATGCAGCCTAGTCTACGTAGATTTTCATGCAGTCTACTGTCACATCGAAAGACATGAGAAAAATAACGCCTTTTATTTGGCTGGAAAAATCAATAATACGAAAATTTCCACTGGCGCGATGGATACAGTAATTGCTTCTACCATGTGTTTTCGGAGTACCGCAATCAGCTTGGACGGAAGCAGCGAACGGTGTAACGTGGAATTCCGGGATACTGCAGGGAACTTAAGAGGTTCATGACCTCCTGGCATGGGGATGAAGAGGAGGCTAACCGACAACGAGCTTCCCGCACACAACAAGCCCAGCAATAGCACAGGCATATGGCCATATAGAGGGCAACAGGTGGACGAGACAGCGGGTGAAGAAAGCATTAGAGAGCGGCGGACCGAGTGGCGTGATATGTGCGGGATGGAACCCCTTGACCAATCCCCCCCCCCCCCGCCCCTATTACGGCACCATTGCACCCACACCCCACCAGCAAGACGTGCCTTGCTACATATCTCGGTGATGTACAGACCCGAATGCGCCCCCCACTGGACGATTTGCATCGGCGAGGGATGCTTTTGTGGAAATTGTAATAACGCTCCACTCCTGTGGTCAGCGAGAAGGGGCGGCTGAAGAATCTCAGTCATCATGTGGGCAAGCCGTGAGGCTGGCAGGCTCAGGCGTGACGTCGGCATCTCTCGCCTGGTTTGAGCCGCTGCAGCTCCCCAATAAACATCGTTTGCGAGGGTGGCTGCAACTCTTCCGCTTTCAGATTCGTGTTCCAACAACGACGGTTCGAGGTTCGAGGTTCGACGGTTTGCGCGTCCGAAGACCTGTGCCAGCCATCGGTTCAAACGAAGCCTCTGATTCATAGATCAAGTGATTCCCTTCCACTGTTGGCCGATACTGCCAACGGACCACTGATTCTGTCGTCAGCTTTCGCTCCCACAAGCCAGCCTTGGGAACACCGTTAGCCTTTGGAACAAAACTTACATACCACAGGGTATAGGATACTATTCACAGGAATATAAGAAAGACGCTAAATAGTGCCACTTCCACACTACTACCACACGAAACCGGCCGCGTCCAAAACGACCTCAATTCGCCGCGTCCAACCACAGCTCCCTCCATTCGGAGTGCGTACGCAGCATGTTTGTTCAAGCTGTGACTCTCCGGGCAACGCCGTGGTATCCTCTTCGTAGATAGGTCCACGGTGCGGGGTCCCCTTCCGGGGCGACGCCTCCGCCGGGTCGTCGTTCGGAGATATCCTTCTGTGTACGGGAGGTGCTCTTGTTCCGGAGCTGCTGTATGAACGAATCGGCAGCGACTTCTTCGCGCCTACTTCACCGCCTCGTGAAGAGCGCGCCCCCGCTTGTTGCCGCGGTGGCTGCTGCCGCTCGTCACCGTCGTCTACGCCTACAGCGGCAGCTGCCACCGCGCTTCGCTGCTGCTGCTGCTGCTGCTGCTGCTGCTGTTGCTGCTGCTGCTGCTGCTGCTGCTGTTGGCAGCTTTTCGACGTATGTCGCTGGCTCTGTCCCTGTTGTCCTGGAGTGGGCTGACCGCGAGTCTGCTGCCGGAAAATCGTGAACGCTAGCGCTGGTCGCAAGCTCAGAGAGTCCAGGGGGGCCATATACCGTCCATCATCGCAACGGTTACCACCACCACCACCTTTATCATCTATGAGCCTTAGCGCGGCGAGGCAAGCATTGACGTGCCACGCCGCCGATTGCGCCTTGCTCCACAGGTTGACAAACGTTCTCGCCTCTTGAGCATCCTCGTGACTGCCACTAACGCCTTCCTCTCCTTGCCCATCTAGTGCTTGTGGACACCACCCGCAACTTTGGCTGCTGTGCAAAGGCGGTGCTGCGGCTGCCGGTGCTGCGCTCAAGCCCACGTTGTCTACTCCTCCGGGTTGCCGCAGGGCACGGGCTTTTTTGTTGCCAGTTCCTCGTTCGCCGTTTGATACCGCGGTGGAGACGTGAGGGCCATGACAGCCACCGCCGCCGCCGTCGCCGCCGCCGCCACAGAAGCACCGAGTAACGGCCGCCACGAACGCCACAACGATCGCACTCTCACCTTCTCGGCCACCTCTCACGCCATTGCCGTCAGAAGAGACACCGATTGCTCGCCGCCAACTCCCGAGAGATAAAGAGGCTTTCGCCGTCGCGCTTGTCTCCTCTCCTCGTCCAGACGAAGTTAGCGTGGAGGTGTTGCCGGAGAGTAGTAGAGCCGCTACAAGAGCTACGGCGGTCAACCGGATCGGAGGACGACCAGCACGGTTGCTCCCTTGGCTAACTTCTGTTCCGTCCGAGTCAGTTCTGCTGTAGTTTTTACCGCTGCCGCTCGCCGTTCTCGGCCTCCCGTGCACCTGGATGTGGGGGGCCCCGCATCATCATGCGGATGGATATACGGAGGGGTAAGACACCGGTTGAAGCATGTCAAGGTTGCGATATTTCTCAGAGTCTAGAGTAATCGTACAGGAGTTGCGTAGAAAAGCCGAGCTGAATGTACATTACGATAGCAACCATCACAAAAAACGACAACAAGAAAAAACAGGTCGACGGGGGGTCTAGCGCGTGCCCGGATTATCAAAGTGTGGGCAGCAGAGATGAAAACAACAGTTTGGAAGGGAGGGAACCGCAAGAGCTAAGCAACTATCAGTACAGGGGATGTCGGCCGGCTCCATCCATACCTGCTTCCGATTCGATCAAGCCGAGAGCACCGCCCCCAAACAAATAGGAAATACACTTGTCAAGAAAAAGGATCAAAAACTTATTTAAGAAAACAATGAGATGGATGGTTTTCGCAGTCAACGCTTGTATCGTCGACACGGTACAGCTTTAGAACTGGCAAAAACGTCGGCAAAGAGAAAGGGTACGACCCGAAACAAATCGAGACGGAAGAAACGGCCAAGCTGGCGAAAACCAGAGACGCCACACGTAAAACACCTGGTGCGAACAAGAAAACGAAAATGTTCTAAACCACCTCCGCGGTAGTCGCAGAAATGTTTTTCCACGAGTGTGAAGTATCAGTGGGAGGGGCGCACCTCCGAGTCCATGAGTGCGGTGAGAAGCCGGTTATCTCGCCGAGCGAGGCCTAGCGTGGAGAGACACAGGGTCCACCGCATCGGCAGGCTCGTGCTAGCGGACAGCCGCAGCGAGGCGGGAACCTGAAATATCACGAAGGTGGACCACGGCACAGGGAGCGGACGGTCAAAAATTATGGTGTGCCGCGAGGAGAAGTTCCTCACAGTTCTGCACAGCAGTACGCGCAGGAGGTGTGTTGGGGCAAAGAGTATCACAGTACTCCACAGTAATCGCAGGAGGTGGGTTTGGGGCTATTTTTTTCGTGACGTCATTGCCGCGAGAAGCGCCACACCGAGCACGCCTGGGTGATGCTCGTGTATGTCCGTTCACAAGACTGCTACGGGATGCATTCTTTGTTGGCGTGACGCGACCTCCAAAGGAAGGGCCCTCAACTACCGGGATCAGCTGGAAGTGGTGGTGTAGGCCGCCCACCAACACGAGACGTTTGTCGCTACTGGCTCCGTTCGAGACACGGGGATGTGCCGTTGACCAGGTGCATGTTGTGCTGACATGTTGGCCATTCCTCATTAGTGAGGTGAAAGTTGGAGCAGAGAGAGTTCGCATCAGCCTGCCCAGGACAAAACGATGCCACATCACGCGCGGCGTTTTGCATCGTACTCTGAAGAAGGGGAAAGCGCCACGCTTGGTTCAGCTACCCTTGCGGCCCGCCTGTCGAGCAGAAAACTGACGGGGAGGTCGATAATATTTGAAGCTCGTGGACGATTTCGCTGCATCCACACCCTAGCTACTTGCCCACGACAGCTTCGTCTCACTTTGCAGACGACCCTGAAGGCCTTCACGCCCGTCCCCACCCGGCGGAACTCACGAACCACAAACTCATCACCCTCCCTTGTCACGCGACCGGGAGGGAGGTCATGCCGCCGCCGTCCTGCCACCGCCGCTGCCCGTGGCCCCAAAGCGTCGTTCTCGTTGAACCGCCGCGGCTTGTCTCCACCCTGGTGCTGCTTGTCGCTACCACCGGCTACAACCTGGCGGCTCCCCAGCGGTTCTACTGCTGCTGCCGCTACCGCTTGCGGTGGTGGTGATGGTGTCGGCGCAGGTGCTGGTGGTGATGCTGGTGCTGGGGCTTGTGTTGACGCTGTGGATGCTTCTGGCAATGACGCTGCTGCCGTTTGTGGTTCTCTTCTCGGCACCGCGGAGCCTCCGGAGTCGAATGCGGCGCAACGCTCCCGGAAGCCTAGAACGGCGCTTTGCGCTGAATTTCCCGCGGAATTGTTCAGAAACCCTTGCGTGGCCACAACCATGGAACGATCTCGAGAATGGTCGTCTTGAGTTGCGGCCGAGGAAAAACAGCCTGCAGTCCAAACACCGACCAACTGTGCCAGGTAAACCTCATAAATGCCCTTGCGGACGCCGGAAAAGCTCGCGAAAGCGGACGAGTGGGATGCTGGCGTGCCCGACGGGGTGGCATCAGTACCGGTTGGGCGCGTCGGCTCTGTGGAGTCAGCGGCGGGTTCGTCGACGGCGTTCTCGAGGGCGACGCTGTCCTCTAGCATCATCCTTCGAGAGACAAAAAAGAATACGAAAGACAACATGTTGAGACATGACGTTAGCTCAAAGAGCAGCAATCACAACGAAGGGTGAAGGACGAGGGTGCCAGGTACAACGATTTGACACCACAGAAGGAAAAACACAACGTGACAACACCATTAACAACAACAACAACAACAACAAACAACCACAACAACAACCAGAAGCACCTGCACCAGAAAACGCCTTCCAAAACAGCCTGCGCGATTTCCGGCGGGGCCCAGATCCCTGCGCGCAGCCCCACCCTCGACAGCACCAACCCCCTCCCCGAAACCGTCGCCGCGAAACCTGTGGTCGATAAAGGGGGCGATAGCGTCTCGTCTTCCGCCTGGTCTTCGCCCGCGGCACGAAAAGGTGGGACCTGGGTATGGCGAAAACGAAAACGTTACAAACACGCGAAGCCACATGTAGATACGTGAGGGGGGCATGTAGAGGGACGAGAGGGCGTTCAGGCGCATGGTTGTGTCTTCTACGCCATGGCTTGTTTCAGCCTTCAAAAGTGGCATTCAGATAGAGGCCCTGCCGAATAACCTACCTAGCACCCAGATGGCCCAGGGGGGGGGTAGGGAATGTGATTGGTCAACAGGAACACAAAACAAAAAACGATGAGACTTTTGCCAGCGGGGAAAAAAAGCGGGAACTCCCACGTGCGAAGCCGATCACACAGAGAACGGAAATATCAGGCGAGGACTTCATCTCACGTTCGCGCTACCCTAGACCGGACAGCGTACTATTGGTACATGGCCATGCTGCACCCACATACATCGCCCACCGCCCGTTGATGAGAAGTAGCTGCATTGAACCCGTTTTTGTTTCAAAATGTTGGTGCTGGGTTAGTCGCTGTGTTTTTTTGTGCTGCCACAAAATGTACCATGTCGAAAGCCACTCATGGGTAAAAAGAAAGGAAACACACATTGCAGAGACAAATATGCTGAGGGTGTAGCCGGACCACTGGCATTGCTGATGCTTCGCTTTGTGTGTTTACGCTGATCAGACTCTACTTCCTCGTGGTGCACACGAAATATCCTATGGACAATTTTTCAACCTTCGGGCGACCCCGTCATCTCCAGACAGCGATTCCGCCTATTCTGGATGTTGCTGTGCTGAAGCTCGATTCGGCATCTGGATTGTGCAATCATGACGTTATTATCGCCAGGCACACACCATTTTCCCCAAAAAAATCAGACCGGCTCGTTCAAAAGGGTCTACACACTTTCACCCACCGAATGTAAGGTCGGGACAACGATCGGAATGGAAAAACGGACGGAAGGAGACAAAATGGTGACCGGAAACCGTCCGTAGCACCGGACAACAAACAGAACACTGGGGGGGAGCACTTGCCGAGGAGACATGCACCAACCAACCTTGTTTGCCTCGTCTCTCTCTTCGCACCTCGTAGTGCAGCCGGGCCGCAAGAAACCCCCGCAGAAACGATTCCCCGTCCTCTTCCTCCCCCACAGCGTCCATCTCCTCCCGAGCGGCGTCTTCCTCGCCAATCCCGGCGTCCCGCTGTCCACCCCGGCTTCCACAACCGGTAGTGCTGCCGCCGACGCGGTCGTTGCCGCTAGGCCGTTTGTTCTTGTGCCCCTTGCCCTTTCTTGCCCTACTAGCGCGCTGTTGCTTGGGGGCACGGTGGCCGGCGCTCTTGGTGGACGACGTCCCAGCCAAGCCGGTTTGAGGTGACGCTTGGTCCTGTCCGTGTGCCCCCTCGGCGCCAGACTCACCACCGTTTCGGCCGGCCGTCAGGGCTGGGAAAAAGCGGGCGCAAAGCTCGCGGGTCATCGATTGGTCCGCTTCACCCGCGAGAAGGTGGCCTCTGTCATCACCGTGCGTTGCCGGACCAACTTGGCTGGGCGAAACGGCATCATTTGCGCCGCATCGATCCCGAGGGACTTGGGTGTGGCGGAGGAATTCGGAGAGGTACCGGGCGGTCGCTTCGACGAGATGCTTGGCTGACGCGGAGACGGTTAGGCCGTTGCTGCTGCTGATACCGTTGCCGTTGCAGCCCCTTCTCCACGGAGCTGATGATGACGCTAATGCTCCCGCGTTGTGTGCCGCCGCCCCTTTCCGTTTTCTCTCGTGGCCGTTGTTGCTCCCGCCGCTGGTGGCCGCCGATTGCATGATAATCCTGACAAAACCGATAGGCGATAGACAACAAACTGTGGAGGGTGGTCGGGCAGTTCTAGGCACCCAATATTGTTGTTCTGCCGACAAACGACACGGATACTGATTTTCTATCATCAATGCGTGATACCCCGGTGATACTCGTCCTTTTCTAAAGTATTGGCACTGTGAGGGAGCCCGCGTCTTAGCCAAACAACGAATCCCCCTTAAACTCCGATAGCGCCTACAGGGTGGTGACAAGGCGCAGGAGGCGATGTTGCTACCGTCCCAGGCGCGGTGGACAACGCATCAGAGGCAACCTCGCCGCAACAACCTACGGAGCCCCTGCAGGAAGCCGGCCGAAAGCAGCCACCCTTCCATATACCAGTGTGACATAGCCGGAGATAAACGGCTGCAAAAGACTCCCCACGACGAAGAACAAGGCACGTGATTTAACCCTTCGTGGCCTCCCAGGGCGAGAAGGCCGGCCATCGCTTCCATCCTGGTGGTTCCTGCAGCCCGGAGTTACATTGATTACGCATAAAACTAAACCCCTTCGCCCTAAAGAGGAGAAGCGCGGGGGGGGGTTGGCAAACGAGCTGCCCTCGCCTGTGGACGTGATTCTCTGGCTGTATCCAGTCGTTCCCCACGAGGCACGCCAGGTCGGGCATCCAATCAGCCGGTATCCCCAGCCTCGCTGTCACGATTGAGACACGGGAGGACACAGAGGGGACGGAAACGACAAAAGTAGGAGAGAGTCGCCAACACCAAAGGATGGAATAAACGATCCCACGCCACATCACGCGAGTGCATTGCCACGAAATACGAAGAGAGACAAAACAGCACCTGGGTTGTGCATCGGCAGGAAACAAAAAGGAAAAAACAACTCCCTCAAGCGGGCGGAAAAATAATCTTTTACGCTGTCCAATGTCAAAAATTAAAATGGCATCGGTTTCAGGACGCGTTGACGCAAGCATTATTTCCCACATCGAATGGCATCGGTTTCACGACGCATTGAAGCAGGTCTCCTACAAGCCAATGAAAGTGCGACTCAAGAAACAAGCGCAATTTCTTGAGGAAAGAAAGAAGAGGCCGCCGAAACGTGTTTACCTGCCACCAGGGTCCGACGAAAGACGAGCGCGCCCGCTGACCCGTCGGCTCCCACTCCTAGCGACCAGAAAGGGATATAGCTGCCTCGCGGTTTTCAAGGACGCAAACAAGAAAATGGGGAGGGAAACGCGGGCGTGAGGGTAGGCAAACGTTCGGTGCTGTGCTTGTCATGGAATAGTCCGCAGTTTCTTATAGAGGGAACGGGACGAAGACTGGACGTAGCTTGTGATAAAAGGGGGTGGGTTTAAGAAGATCGAAAGATGGGCACATGCAAAAACAAGAGTGAAAAGCAGATACAGCAAGGGGACAACAAACTGCTCCGCCTACACCGAACATCCGCGACCAGCGTGTCTCTGTCTCTCGCGCGCTCTCGCGTTCTGCCTGCTTGTCTCTCCACCCGCACGTTCACGTACCCGGGGATATCCATCACCAAGAAATCGCTATCGTTCGACAGCACCGCGTCGCACCCTCCCTTCACGCCAACGCCTCCCCCGGCGTCGTCTAACTCCGGGCATCGATGCTGCCCTCGTCCACCATCCACACTCCTGGTATTGCCCTGACAAGCTGCAGCAAGCTCGGGATCTGCTTCTCTATCAGCCGACCTGACACACGAAGGAGTATTTAGAGAGGAGTTTTAAACCAGTAAAACGAAAAAATGAGAGGTTCGACAAGCAAAATGACACGAATGTGCTTCGAGGCCGTTCGCGGTGGGAGGGGGACAAGCCTGTGCGAAGCGAGAACCAAGGCTGCTGCTCTCCGCTGCTTCGAAAATCACGCTTTTCTGCGCAATGTGGTAGAGTTCCAGTTCAAAGATTCCTGTCCCATCGGCACTTGGGCGACTTCGTGCGTAGCAGAGGAAGACCTGTCGGGCAAGACTGTGTGTCCTTCCGACTGCTCCCTACGGGAAAATCTCTTGTGTGCATACAGCTTGACCGCACCAGGCGCCATCTCCGGTGATGCGTTAGCCACAAGGGGGGTCTCCGCTACCACTTTCGCGACCCACCTAGCGTATACAAACTTCCTTCATCACACCACGCCAGAATCACAAGCGGGTGTGCTGGTCGGAGAGACGGCGAAAACACACTTAACTAGTTAGCTTACAGCTCACCAAACGAACAAGCGATGTAAGTCTGTATTTTTTGTCTGACCTTATCGAGACCCCGGCGGAGATGCACGCTGCCATAAGCGTTTCCACAGCGAAAAGCGGCAGTAGCGAGGAGCAGTGCTGCTGGAGAAAGGCGGCATCGGTCCCTTCGCCCCCAGGCTGCATGAGTACCATCGCTTCGGAAGCGTCTGCTGCCTGTGGAACCGTACCACAGAACACGCAGACTGGATAAGGGGGAAAACGGCAATAGCAGTACACAAACACCCGGAAGACAAAGGTCGACCAAAACACGCCGCCTTCAGTGTAGTTACTCTGCGCATGCCGAGAACGAACGAAAGTGCCGTGCTCGACAGCACATTCGCCCGTTGCTGCCAGTAGCCCGGTAAACAGGGGGGGCAATTCTGGACACTAAAAAAGTCGTGGAAAGACACGGGGAGATGGGGGGCACCGTACCTGCGAGCGACGCCTCTCCAGGGTGGTGGCTTCCTTCTCGCAGTCCTGCATGCCGTCTACGACTACCAACAGCGAAACCCCGGCGTTGGTGAGGGCCGATAGGTAGCCCAGCAGTGCATCATGAAGGGATCGGTAGTCGCACCTTCACAGAAACGTTTGCAATCAAATTCGCCAAGTTTCGTGCATTGCGCAGCTGATTGAAACGGAACCCTGGAGTAGGTGGAACACCGGTGTCGGTATTGCCGAGATGGAACAAAAACAACAACAACAACGTCGCATTTCCTACCCTCCACGAGTGGAGAACATGCAGCTTCATCTTGAGTTTCAAACCGTTCCTCTGACGAAACCCACCCCAGTTCCAGGCAAAGATCATGAGCCCCGGCGTTTTGCATGATGTGGTAGACCAAGGCCAGCCCGTCCACGGCGAGGCTCACGGGGTCATCACGCTGCTGACATTGGAAACCCATCGGCCAGACAGCAGAAACAAAGGACGAAACAACCACAAGAGTACGGTGTTTGCATTTGGTCGCATGATGCAAGCAACCCATTCGTTGTGGCAAGGAACTGCGAAAACATTGGTCGCAGAACGGACAGACGGCAAGGAGATGAGGCGAGAAAGAGGGCCAGTTACAATCACACCGTGTCGCATAGGGCAAGCAAGCCTTGCGTCATGCAGAGGGAACAAGGACGAGATGGGGGTACGCAAGATGCTTGTGTCGAGCATGTGTTTCTCCGACAACAGTCCCGTCCGTGCCTGTCACACGGCAGTGTAGAGCGATGACCGGGTTGGATCATGTGCCTGTGGTAAAGACTGCTGGCAGATGGCTGTTCACAAAGATCAATGCGAAATGGGTTTCGCCGCATATTGGTCCTGTGAAACAAGTCTCCTCACATCTGATGCTGAAGGTGTGTCCCGATCGGAACCACCGTAGTTGAGGTCCACATGCTCAGAGCACGCCCTCTGGCATCCCGTTACGTACGAGCTCAGCCCGCGCACCCCCATCTACCGGCTGCATTTGGCTGGTCTGATGTCTCAGCAGCGTCTAGGGCTGAGACGCTGCCCACCATGAATGTGCGGAGCCCCCAACACGCAATCTCGCCGCATCTTTCGCTGCTGTTGCGACGATACGTCGAGACTACAGCACAGAGCAGTAGTCGAGAGTCACAGAGCTCCGCGATCATCATGGTGCTGCGGGCGTTGTCGCTCGCACTTCCCTTCGCGTCGCTGCAGGCAGAGTCTTTTGTTGTACCGCCGCCAAGCTTGTCCCTTTCATCGGCGTCCGGCAGCACCTGGCATCAACGTGTACATGTGGGGTCTGTCAGAAATCCTGCAACAGGCACCACCACCGCGGCGACAGGAGGCCCCAAGCACCCAGGCTTGTTGATGGAGCTGGAAAACACACAACTTGACCGTCGGTATGTCGGGGAGTCTCTTCGTATTTTGGTGATACCCTGTGTGTGCGCTACTTGCTGCTGCTTGAGTCTACAGCGGGTGTACATTCAAGTATCTGCGCTGAGGTATGCAAGGTTGCCCAGCAGTGACGTCCACCGGCCGCAAACATCGTAGCCGGCACGGCCGCTGTGCTGCTGGTATCGTGGGTTTCTTCGGCATAAATCGGTCGAAGTAACTGGCTGACTACGACCCATCCTATACACCGTACTTGCATAAAGAATCGCGCATACTCTTTCCAAGCATTATTCAGGTCTCCGGGTTACTGCTGTAGACCGATACACAAGATGGTCTCTGTTGTTTGCGGGAGAATGACCGCACAACTGTATACCCCTGCTGTACCTATTTGCATATGCTCGAGGATAATCAGAAACATAGGTGTATTTAGGTCATATCACATATTTAACACATCACGAATGTTTTCTGGACTCTTGTCATGGATAAAGATAAATCTGTTCAGTTCACAACCGATTCCTCCTGATGAGTGGGCTCAAGAACAACACTAGTGTCATGAAAGGGTTCAAGCCAGCTCGCCAGTGGTGGCATTTCCCAAGCTCGAACAGTTCACACAGCTGACAAGCTGATTTACACGAAGAACCCCAGCGAAGCTCAATGAACCGAAAGGAAAAGTTACAAATCTGTTACAGCAGTCAATAAGATAATTAAGTACGTGGTACATACCCTACAGAGATGAAGCAACAACGATAAACGTCCAGACAGAATAAGAGGGATTATTGCGGGATCCAACGCCTAGGTTACTTTGTCGACGCTGTCGTTGAAAAGCTCTCTCCGCGCTCGGGCCGCCTCAACCCTCCTGTCAACGGCATCTGCCACGCGTATCTTGCGGCATGTATGTACTACAATGACCTGTGTGTGCCACATCGTTTGTATGCAAGCAACGGGTTACCGATTTTGACGGGATGTACCCCACCCTTGCGGGATATGCTTGCACGGTGGCGGGGCGACGCAACTTGTTGCACCTACAGAGCGCTCCTTCGAACGATAGGCGGCGCGCTCGCTTCGTTAGCCTCGGCGTCTGCGCTCACGGCGAGCCCGCAACAGGCGGCGGCTGCGGCGGCTGCTGCGGCGGGTACAGCGGTGGGGAGGCGGCCGGGGGCAAAGCGATCGCCCACGTTCTTGTGCGACGACGCGGTGTCGTACCTCTACAACCCGACCAAGCAGTCCGAGGTTTGGCTCGTGGGGACGGCTCACATCTCGAACTCCAGCGCAACCGTGAGTGAGTTCGAAGCGTGCTTCTGGTCGACGAGGGTAATAGTTCGTTGGCTACATTAGGGTATCGATCGGTCCTGTCGACCCCTTGGGCTGTTATTCTCCGGGCGGCACCAAGGGGCAGGCGGCCCAATGCTTAGAGCGGGAGGTCAACATCGATGCAGTTTTTGCTCACGCTCGTCGGAGCTACTCTGCTCCTGGGTCGTAAATTGGTCTGAGGATGGAATTGCCCGCAGTCAAAGCAAACCCTGAATTTCGTGGTGTGTGTTATAACTTATGCAGCCTACAAAATCCCTACTGAAGAGATAGACAACCATCTGGTTCGTGGAGACTCTGCTGATAGCCCACCTTTCTAGCTCCGCCGCTGGGAAAGGCATGGTACTGTTTGCGCAACCTGGATGTATACGTGATATGTGCTACTCCGCAAAGAACAGAAGCACCAATCCGACTACTTATTGAGGGACTTTATGATCATTTTTGTGTTTTTTTCACCCCCTGCGCTGCTGCAACCTACGCTGAATGTCTTCGTTGTCGTTCCTTTTTTATTGGCGGAGCTGACCCAAACCGTACAAGGATGGTCGACATACTGCACAAATCGAATGAGGAGTTGCGCTCGGGCAATTCAGCGTTCGAAACCTACGCTGTCAATTCCTGTTGCTCCCCCCTGTTTTTTTCTTGTGTATTTTGCGAATCTCTGGGTCTTGAACAGCTGGTAGAGAACGTGATCCGACAAATCAAGCCTCAGGTCGTGATGGTCGAGCTCGACGCACAGAGGGTCGGCAGCTTCATGGAACCGCCAAAGCAGGTGAGACCCACTTCTGGACTGCCGCCTCCGTTGTTGTTCGATTGTATGCGGTGGGGCTGCAGCTGAATTCGAGTGTTTCAAGCTTCAGCAAGAGCAAGATCGAGCGGGAAGAATCGTATCTCGCCTTTTGGGCCCGGTAGGAAACGCGTGGACAGGGGAATCTCGTCGTCCGGTCATCTTTTTTCCCACCCAGATGGTCTAGTCTTGCCCCAAGAAATGCTTGTTTGGTCTGCGACCAACCTCTTCATTCTGTTTTTGCACGTTCGTCTTTCATAGGGAGAAAAGGCTCTGGCTGATGGTACCGGCAAGGAGATATCTCCCCCCGCCGAGAGAACAAGAAACCCCTTTTTCGGCGCGTTCTTCAAGCAGCTGCTCGACCCCAACGTGTCTGTCAACGACAGAATAACAGAATTTTTCGCCGCGGCGTTGGGAAAGGCCATCTCCAAAATGTACGAGTCCATGGGTGAGTGGTTCTGCCTCCCCCCGCCTCGAGAGGAGGCGCACGGGAAGGGTCGTTGCCATCGGTTGGGAAATTTCAGGACATGCCTCGATGTGAAACGTACTTCAGCGTCTGCTGCGTATGGTCGTAGAAGTGTCGTGCGCTATGTTGACGCCCATGCACGGTGTGAGCCAGGATACGGTCACGGTTGTTCGGACGGCGTAGAGGGTTTGTGGTTTTTGTCTAATTGTAGCTGTCCCGAGCGCGACCGACGGGCTAATAGACCATTACACCAGCACGGGTACTGGAATCGAAAACACCTGAAACGCGTGCCAGGTCTTTCTGTTCGCGCCCGACTAAATAGTTGCATGCGATTGCAGCGTGTTGACCCACGCGAATCTTTTGGCCCATGAGTGGCCGATTGTACTGGTTGCGATGAGCAAGGCTTGTGTCACGACACTGGGGTTGCTGGTGTTCTGCTAACGCCAAGCCGTGGCTATGGTGCACCCGAGCTGCTGTTGCTACTGCTGCTGCTGCTGCGGCTGCTGCCGTTGCCGCCCCGTTCCCGTGACGAACCGTGTTTACCGCTCTTGCCGAACCAATCGAAACAGACCAAAAGGGGCTGTCGTCTGGACAGGAATTCACCATTGCCATCAACGAAGCCAGAGCCTGCGGCGCGAAGCTCCTTCTCGGGGATAGGGATGTTCGGGTGTGTATGCACGTGTGTGCAGTGTACGCGAAGTGAAAATACTCCTGGATGTTCAAGATAGTGTGTGCTGCTCGGCTTCGGCTTTGTGTCGGTTGATGCTGTCTTTGTGAACATACCCTTTTTTTGTCAAAACGGCATGTGAGGACGGAGGCTCTTGGTTCGGGTCTCTTCACGGTCTGTCCTTCTTCTTGTGGGGGCGAAGAGTTCGGTGAAGTACCGGGCCCATGCTGTTCATCCAACTCCCCGTTCGATCCAATATTCAGATATTTTCTTGAAAGTGTGTGCCGTATCGTAACTCTGTCATGCGCCCTTAATCGGCTTTCTTTTTCGTTGCTCAAACGACGCACTGCGTTTCGAATACTCACGCAATAACTCATCCGATACATGCGGTTTGAGTTGGAGGAAGTCCATCCTCGGGCGGTTTCGTACCAAGTCTCCGAGAAAAAGCAAGTTGGAACCGAGCGATTTCATTCGGTTCCGGCCCAGGGATAGGTCACAGCACGCAGACAGGCGTTTTTTTTCTTGCCTGCCAAGGAAACACCCCCTACGGACGCGAGGCTTCGCATCACTAGCGGAGTAGCAATAGCATGGAAATCATGGGTTTTTGTCCCGGTGCATTTATACATATCGCGGTAGGTTGGGTCATCGGGGCTCAACTTCTCTCTAAGTGGGGCCGCTGCGGTGGATGCCGCCAAGTTTTTAACTGTTTCCTCTGAAATGGTCATCTGTGAAGGGCTTGAACGATACCGCATCGGTTGGACAACGCCCAGAACTCGGTCAACGGACGAGGCGATAGGGCCGGTGCTATCACGTTGAATGAGAGAACGTACAGGGGTAGATGTCAAGACGTGCATGGTTTCGGAAACAACGCGTGCTTTTGCCGACTCTCCACCTCTTCGATTTTGCGGAAAAGGGGACACGCCGGACGGAGTTTGTCACACGTTATGCAACCTACCAGTCTTGAGTCTATCAACAGGGCTTTCCGAAACGTGAGTCCAAGATTAGCTACGGAGTTTGGCTAGGACATCATTTCCAAGGCGCGCCGGCTGTGATTGTGTAAGGCGTGTAGTGGAATATGCGGCGTTCGCGACATCTGCCAGCCTTGTCCCGGCTGTGGAAGCCCCCGCCACTGTGGAGCTGATGTCACTATCTCGGTGTCCCCCCCGTGCCCCTTACCATTGTCAACGCGTGACTCATCTCGCCGTGCGAATGCCACAGATCACTCTTCGCCGACTGTCGGAGGCGCTGAGAAGTATAGACCTGCAAGAGATCTCACAGTCGGGCCAGATGGAAACGGGGTTGGGGCTCGAGGCGCTGGATGGCTCCAGCGTCGAATCGATCAACTCAAGCCTTGATGTGAGTTATGTGGGATGGCCGCCTGATGAGCTGGACGAAATCCCGTGCTGTTCGTCAACCCAACACCACGCGTTTCCACATGGCACCTGTTTTAGGTCGAAGTCGTCGGGTTTTTTTTTTTCTCAATGTTACGTGATGGGTAGACTTCACCGGGTCAGCCCGATTCAACTCCACACAAACACTAGAATGTGTGTGCATTGTCTAAGACCTTTGCGCGAATGCCTAGACCAGTTGCCGCCGAAGCACACTCCGCTTGCGTCAGTTTTCTACTGCCAAACGACAGGTCCGTGGGGGTAGGCGAAATCCGTGTCTGACCTTCCTGTGGCGATAGACGATGGTGTTTTGTTTCAAGCGAGCAAGCGCGACGGGCAGGGTCAGCCAAACCTATTTAGTCCAATTGATTTCCTCGTGGCCCCTCTTTCGCTATTCGGATCATTGGGCAGATCCTGAAGAACCGCGAGACGATGCGGAAGGTGGTCGGCTTCTACAAGGAAGAGGCTCCTGAGCTGTACAACGCCATGATCGGCGAGAGAGATAAGGTGCGCTCTCTCTCTTGTTATGATTTTCGTCGGTCGGTCTACGTTTCTGGTGGAAGCATAGCGAGTGCCCTACGGCACCCCTCACGAGTTGTGTGCGTCTGGAATAAGTTTCGGAGTTTGATGTCTCATCTATTGCCCTCGCCTGAAGGTGAAACGTACCCGACTGGCTTACCGTCTGTCTTTTTGTCTTCGATCGGGCGAGAAACGGAAACATTCTTCGTCGGCATGTGCCTGCGGTTTTAGTGCGGGCAGGACACAGCGGTTCCTTCCCTCGAGCGTATTTGAAGAGTTTGTAGAGGACGTGTGGTACAAGATGGGAAAAGTCGCCAGGTTGCTGGATCTCGAAGTCGAGAAAATGTTGCGAAAAGGTTCACGAGCCAGTGACGTGACAAACTCGGGGCAGCCGGCCATGTAATATCGTTTTCGAGAGACAGGCAAGATGCATGGCACATGTGCGAATCTGTAGGCGCTCACAGGTAGATGGGCCGAAAATGACTTCCGTGAGTCTATTTGCGTGGGGCTGCACCTGTGGACATTGTCGAGGTCACGCCGGCTTTGCGGGTGTGATGGGAACGGCTCTTGTGTTTATCCCGCAATTTTTGTTTTTAAGGACGGCCTAGGTCTAGCCCGTCGTATGGACCCGTATTGCCCACAGAACTCGTCTCCTTCACCGTTCCGATGCTTGAATCACCGCTGATGTGGTGCACTCGCTCGGGTGTTGCGCGTGAGGTCGTAATTTAACATTGTCGCCAAACTCGCCTCCTTTTCGTGCAGGTAATGGCCGTAAACCTCATGGGCCTCGACGGCAAACAGGTGACCGTCGCGGTCGTGGGACTGGCCCACGTGGACGGCATCGAGGGGATCCTAATGGCCAATGGTTGGAAATCTCAGCGATGTTGAAGCGACGAAGCGACAGTTGACCCGTGTCTGTTTCAAGCCTTGGCTGCTCAACAACGAGTACAGCAGTGGAGTTGTGTTCCTGCTGCAAGTGTTGTGGTGCCGCGGCGATGAAAGGTGTCTCGCATAGTCGGGTGGTGGTGTGAAATCTCACACGTTGCCCTTGATGCTTTCTTTCATCGTCGAGCCAGTTGTCAACCCCGGTTGAAGGCGTTTAGATGGCGTCGTGGAGAACCCAGCGGTTTGGTGAAATTGAGATCAAATAAGAATGTCACCATCGTCCTCCGGGTTCGACACCTACCCTTAGGACACCTCGTAACTGCACCAAGTGTCTCCCATGGCGTGAGCGCTGCGGATGATAGAGGGGACTTGTTGGAAGGACGCGGCGATTCTGGATAACAGAACATGCCGCGTTGCGCTGTTCCATTCGTAGTGTGCCCGTGCTCTGGGCTGAATACCACGAAGCAAGTGGCATCATGAAACAAGACACTTTTTTTTTCGTCACTTGTACACAGCGCGTACACCTCGCACAGCATTTATGCCGTATGGGAGCTCCAATCTGTGGTCGCACGAAGGTTTCCTTCGTATCTTTGGGAATACCGGCGCTGGCATTCCATCGTCGAACGTGCGTGGGATGTCAAACATGACAGACAATACGCCGGACCACGCCAGCACCCGAATGGTGAACCCTTGGTGGCCGACCAACCACATGTGCCGTGAGATGGTGCGGTGCAGGCCCAGTTTCTGGAGTCGGCGAACTTCGAGCAGGCAATCGATCGGGTCGCCCTGGGTGGCCCCCCACGGCTCCCTCCCGTTCGTGTGCGTGTGTGTGTTGTGTTTCACAGGACGCTTTTATTCGACATTGGCGACAATATGTCGCGCAGTACTTTCCCGGCGAGTGCAACGCGTGATGTATCCCTCGGAAGATTGTTGCCGTCCAAGCAGTGGGACGTTGGGGTTTCGTCCGTTTTCCATACTCGGAAGACGATGGCGTGAGACGGTTCAACGACGTAAAGGACTCTAGGAGGAGCCCGCCCGGTATGAATGGCTTTTCCGGCGATGGAATCAGCGAAACGGTCCAGTTTTCGATTGCACGGACGGCCTGACCGAACCGCCTCCGCGCGCATAGGCTCTGTGTCGACTGATAGTGTTTTTTCCATGCTGCCGTTTTCGGGCCGCGGTGGCGGTGGTTGCCACGGAATTCCCCCCCCCCTCCGTCATTTGATCTTCCCGACAACAACCGGTTGTCGTGGGAGATATGATACGCCCCCATCATGTTCTGGCGTCTGACAAGGGTGTAGAAGTGAATCCAAATTAGGGTGTAGAAGTGAATCCAAATTCGATTTGGTTGGTCGCAACAGAACCCGAGACTGACAGCCTCTATGGTCGCCATGGACCCAGAGGGTTATCATGATCCACGGGGTGTCTTGCTTGGCCGTGCTACCATGGATGTGCTACTGATGACACGTGGATACGAACCTCAAGCAAAAAAAATCGCACTGACTACTGGCGTACGTGAGGCGCAAGCGCGGATGTGAGTGCGTAAAAGCACACACACCGACCTCCGCAGCCATCCCCTATTTCACAAAACCATATATAGAGCTTATCTATAACATTTATTTTATCACTGCGTGTATCCGTGCCCAAAGACGCCGAGGGTTTCAAGAGCTGTGCCGGCTATTGCTTGTGTCGTTAATGCGACCGGTGACCAACCGAGTTCTTCTGTCCGCCCAGGCACTACATGACTAAGATCTGAGAGGGCAAGTGTCACCGGTCAGCCTTGAACGAAGAAACAGATGCCACGTGGAAGCACTTTGTAGGTTTCGGTATGGAAACCGCGAGCGCGGGTTCGAGTATGTGTACAATGCATGCTGCTCCGCGGAGCTCGTACACGAGTACAGGCGGTTGGAGGGATCAGAGCTGAACCGGTTTTGTCTTACCTTGGTCGACGTATCTCTCTTCTATGTTGAGCAGTTTGTGTATGGTGTCCTCCGTCTGTTGTCCCTGACAAGCAAGAGGACGAGGGAATGAAGCGTGTGCGAACGCAAGAGGGTACGAAAAGGCCAATAAGAGGAGTTCGTCGATTTTCCGTCTGAATATGTTGCTGTTGAGCGGTTGGTTTCATTCCGTTTTGTTTCTTCCGCACCATGCCTCCATATCTTGGCCCGACAAGCGCTGCTGGTCGAGTTGAAAATCTCTGCTGTCTTTTGAGAAGAACGCCGTGGTGGGTGGTAACTACCGCATGTGATCGTCTGTTGTGACCCACCATTGTACCGTTTCGACGGGCGGCACCGCCCCGCCAGCCATGGATAGCGGCATACGTTGGCATTGTCGTCCTGCAACTACCGTACAAAGTTGTACAGTATTGACTACATACATGTCTTCAAGTGGATTGTTGTCGTTCTGCTAGATGTCGGTGCAACTAGGGCGACTTGGGTCAACGTTCAGGGGCTGAATAACCGATCGCCTCTGCCAACGCCGGTCCGAAAAACTGGTCGGGGCAACCTTTGCGAACGATCGCCACCCTTCTGTGCCCCACTCACTCTTCCCCCTTCCACCCTCTCACATTCCAGATTCCAACGAGCAGCCGTTCACCCATAAAAAACTCATTTCAGCCTCCTCACGTCGCCACCGTAGGGAGGGGACTAATTCATGGCCAAACTCAACGACGAGCACAACAGGTAAGCAGGCAGCGGCGTCCACCCTGCTGCTGCTGTGTGGGTGTACCTGGCATTTCGTACACATGGTGTGGTAGCATAGAGACGCGTGTGCGACCGACAGCGTTCTATCCGTCCCTCCCAGGGCCGTGACACCGCAGCCAGGGCTTGGTTCTTAAGCGCGGAAACTGTGCCGGACGCACCACCGCCAGCACGAGTTCGGGGTCGCGACTAGTAGTCTGCACGGTAGCTGCACTCCTCCATCTCTTGTTGGGTAAGCGATTCGATGGAGGAACTCCACCGGCGGTCGAGTATGCACGTGCCATGGTTTCGATGCATCGAACGATGAACACAGACAGATACATCGACGTCCGTGGTGCCGATACAAGCGAGTCGGTCCTGCCGGGTGCGCTACTACTGTACTGTAATGTAACTCACCCCCTTCCTAGCGCGTGGTTTCTGCACATTTCGCGATGACAGAGGACACATTGCGCACCGGCAGCCACACTCGCCGATCATGATTTTGTCTGCGTGAATCCCACAGGACATGACTCGCCTGCTCCAGGAGTCACTATCCAATCACAACTAGCACCCCCATCTTGTACTTCCATGACGATGGCCTAACATGTTATATTATTTGTGTTGTGAGCGAACCTCTTTCTGGGCGTCGTGTACGAAAAATGTGGTATTTCGACCTCACATCTGCAAGCGTAGTACCAGTGCCTTGGTCTAGGGCATGATGGACGTGTGGTGTACCACGGGGCATTGCATGGTGCACCCCGACATTGAAATACCATCTAAACTCTCCATCGGTGGCGACTAAACGTGAAACTTCAGCCCCCCACATTCATGCTGCTCAAATATGCTGCTGTAGTTTCCTTGTATAGACTCTGGCGTTTGCCTTGCACGTGCAGCACCAGAGAAAAGGGCACTACTCGAGATTACTGGTGTCTTGAGGCTGCGAAAGAAACGCGTAATATCGGGGCTATGGGTATCGTGCTCCCTGTGCCTCTTTTGGTGGTGGCAAGAAGCGATGTCCTTGTGAATCACGCCCTCGACCTCGCCCGTGACATGACTGCTTCCATGGACGTCAATGTCAATTCCATGGAAGTCAATATCGACTTCCAACTTCCATGGAAACTACATGTCTTCCATAGAAGTTTTATGGCTTCTATGAAAGTCAGATTGACTTCCTTGGAATCTGTTCGTCTGTTTTGGGTTCCAGCTTCCATGATGCTTCCATGGAAGCGGTAAACAACTTCCATGGAAGTTGATCCGCTTCCATGGAAACTGATCCGCTTCCATGGAAGCACCCGATGTCAACCGATCGTTGCTTCCATAGAAGTCGCATTTCGGACTTCCACGGAAGCGCGACGAGCTTCCATGGAAGTACTACTTCCTCCATTGAAGCTCGTCGCTCGGCGGAGTCTCTGCCACTTTCATGAAAGCACGAAAACGTTCATAAAGGCAAACCGACTTCCGTGGAAGCACCGAAATTTCCATGAAAGCAACTTCACGAAAGCGTCTGGGCATGAGGTCATTCCAGACCCTAACCCTAACCCCAACTCTAACCCCAAAACAGACCATGGAAGCTATCCCGAGACTGACGAATTCCATGGAAGCAAACCTAAGCCTGTTTTGAATAGCTTCCATTGAATCCTAAGGTTAGACATCTATGGAAGCTATTCCACTTCCATGGGACTTCCATGGGACTTTCGTGGAAGTTAACTAATGGAAGTGGCACATCCATATGTCATATCTATCTCTACATAGTTGCACGGAAGTAATATTGCTTTCATGGAAGTTTCGTTTTGCGCTTCCATGGAGTACAAAAAGTGTAGCTACCGTTGAACGTCGTGTCAGCCTCCATGGAAGTTAGATCTCTCCAACTTCCATGGAGGCTGATTATATACGTCCATGGAAGCGGTACATATTTGTCAAATAGTGTGGGAGATCGCGGGGTTTGTTCCGCACAACAATGAAACGGCGGCTAAATATTTTTTCCGACAACATTTGTCGACAACGTTGGCTTCGCGTGGAACGGATCGATTGTTTGTAGTGTGGATCGCAGAGATGGAGTTCAAACCCCACGGCCATATCTTTTGTCGGAGCCACACTTTCCCTTTATGCCACACGTGCGAGTCGGCAACTGGCACCTACACAACAGGGGTATCCATTGTGACACTCTCGCTCGACGCTGGTCAAGGGGCATGGGGCCTCGGAATTCCTGGAATGAATGGCCGTGACGGTGTTCAACACTACGGCCATATGCCTTCTGTGCCATGTTCATCGAGACGCCCTAGCCTTACCCGAATATGGACGGCTTGCAGCCTCACCAAGATAGAGCATATTCAAACGAACTGTCGGAGTGTCGCAAGACGAGACGGACTTAGCAGAGAAATGTGATTCATGTTGGCACGTCATTGGTTCGACAGAGAGAACCAAACTCGCGAAAATCATTCGGCTGCTTTGCCGGTTGCCTCTGTTCATCGTACGGCGCGTGAACTTCGTATTCTCAAGATGGGCACCCGTGCGATGTCGGAGGGAGAGCGAGCTTCTCTTCAACTACATTACGGCCTGTGAGGAAAAGTTGCCCCACTCATGTCGCGGGGGGTCAACGCGCTGAAGGCCAAGGCGTCCGGCAAATCGCGAGCGGGAAGCAGGCACGGTTTTAGTTATGCGTGTGTGGCACTTCTCTCTAGTCGATGATGCGCAACTATGTAGACAATGCCACAGTCCTCTCAAACGTCGTACTGTAAATACCCCCCGATATCCTCTGTGCGCTTCTGTACGTCCACTGTGGCGACGCGGTCAATCTTCGTAGTCGGTGGTGTTACGACCTGCACGTTGAAATGTGTTGACTACCCGT